GGGAAGGGGGGGGACTTGCATTTGGGAAGGAAGGAGGCAGCTTTCAGACAGGTTTCTTCCTCAAGCTTATTAAGACAGAGCTGGCAGAGGAAGGGGGGAGTGGGAGGGAAGGGACTGTCTCACATGAGATCTGTACAAGCGAACGTGAAAAAAAATGACATTAAAAGGAGAAGGTTGCAAAGGCCAGAGCTCCAAAGCTAGGAATTGGCAGGACGAAGGATCAGAAGTGAGAAGTTCGAGCTCCTGGAGGCAGAGGCCTTCAGCATCCTAAAGAGGTTTGTAACTCCCTGTGAACCCATGCTGAGGGCCACCCCTCAGGATTACCACAGACCTCAACCACTTAAGTTATGGGAATAAATGTTTGCAGTCCCTCTATATTACCAGTTACTAGAGCACTTGTCAATGTGTGTTTTGTCAGTGGCTTACCCTGGTGGGGAGCAGTGGCATGTGGGACTAGGTATGCCTGTTGCTTATGGAGGAAAATGTGATTTAGAGGTTGCTACCAGCATAGCCAAGCACCTTAAGTTTGTTTTATTCTCAAAGGTAGGTTGGGTCCGTGTATTAGAGATGTGTCGGCCTTGTTGAGTGTCCTGGGGCCATGCTGAGCCATAACTAGGCACTTGAATGCCCTAGGTAGCAGCCACGCATTTGGCAACGCCAGTGGCTGAGTTGCCACTGACCCCACTCTCCTCCCTCCCTCGATCAGCACCTGGGGCAAGTGTCCTGGTTTCCTTCTCTTTGTTACGCTAGTGGGGCCACACTTCAGTAACCTGAAGAGATCAAGAGTGAGTTGAACAGCTTCTGAAGGAGTTTCCCCAGTAATATGGCAGTACCCTTTCTACTCCCACCTCCCAGAGCCATGGCGTAGGGGTGTATTGAGGATAGGAGGAAGGGAAGGGGTAGGATACCTGTGATGTCTCACATGGGGTGTGTATGAGCATACATGGAAAAAATGGCATTAAAGGGAGAATGTTGCAAAATGAGGTCCAGCTGTGCCTGCAGTCTCACAATTTTGGACCTCAGATAAGTCCATGGGGAGCTGGATAAGGCCACCATAAGTTAGAGTATGTCTTGGGGCTGCACTGGCCCCTGAATAAGTCAGATATGGAAGGCACAAGTGTCTTAAAGTTTCCTTTGCATCCTCCTCCTGAGAAGCTCAGCACAGATTCTGGCTCCTGGAATTATGCTCACAGTCCTGCCAGAGGTGGCTTTATGCAGTCTCCTCAGTGAAATGGAGGTGAACGACACATGCCTGAGGAAGAGCATGAGATCTTGCTAAAGAGTAAGAGCTGCACAGTGCTCAGGTTGATCAATTAGGAGTAAAACTTGCAGTTGCTCTTGGCTCCCACAATGTTGATGTCCATGCTCCATCTGGCTGGAGAGCATGCTCAGTGCACATGGCCAAGGTTCAGACTGATTAAGTAGTCAGCTTCTAAGAAACCTACAGAGCATGTGGCAGTAGTGATTTTCAAATACTTATAACTTGGCCAGCCTTGGGTGAATTTTTGTGAGGTGGTAAAAAAATACTAATTCACTTCAGGACCATCCCATTTTCATCTTCCATTGGACATTTATGTTGGCAAAGCTGCCGGATTTCCTCTAACCATGTTCTTGAGGATTGGCTAATACTAGCCCTTCTTTGTGAAAACTTAAAAAAAACCTCAGCCAGAGGTGAGGCCTGGAAAGTCTGGAAGAGAACATTTTAACCTGAATAGTTAAAATATGGCAAGGTTATTATAAGCAAGACTTGATGCCCATCTTGCTGGGGTTATCTGATCCCAGTGATCTTTCCTGTCCAAGTGCAGGGGGGCTGGACCTGATGATCTGTAAGGTCCCTTCCAGCTTCTAACAACTATGAAACTATAAGAGAAAATGGAGTCTTATGATAAGAAAAGTCAAGCATGCAGTGTTGCTCCCAGCTCTGCCTAAAATGAATCATTCACTAGGCACCTTCCAACTACTGCAATGAATGAGGCTGGGTCTTACAGACATATAACTCCTTTTGTGCACAGCCCTGATTGTGCCTAGGACACAGTACATCTTGTGAACTGAGGGCACAAACAGAAATGTAGCTCCCTGCTTTGCAGGAAGCCTTCTGAGTTACAAAGATCCCCTGGAACAAACAGAGAAGTTCACTGTTGGTTTCAGGGGAGAGGGGAATCTAGCTACTGGCTTGGAGCCTGCTGCTGGTTTCCCCTAGGAATGGCCCCTCCTCTCTCCCAGCCTGTCCCTATTTCAGAATGGGAGGGGGAAAGGGAGTAAAGGGAGCTCTTCTAGTTGTTTCCCAGTTAGCACCGAAGGGTGGAGTGGGTGAATTGGAGGCCCACCACCTCGGGGGGGGCGCTCCAATATACCTGTCTCACCCACCAGCAGGGGCTGAAAAAACCACAGACTGAACTCTCTTTGCTGTCTTTCCCCCTCCCATTCTGAAAACATCATGAGGCACGCAGACAGAAGTTACAGAAGATGCTGTGTTTTGAAACCACTTTGTCTGACCCCTTATGCAATGATGGTTTAGATTTTCATTTGACCGGCCATTTTTGAAGCAGTCTGCAGCCATGCGGTTGTGTTTGGTCATAGCAGGGTATATGTAAGCTGCTTTCTGTGAGTAGATTGGGCAAAAATTGTCACTTCTGTGTGCACCCACCTATGCACATGCAAGCTGAATTAAGATTGTACTAGCGGCTGTAATTGTGGCACTTCCTAACTCCTGAGGGTTAAAAATCAACATGTGCTACAGTTACTACAATTATTTCCTAACCTAAGCATGGGGAATCACTATGGTAATGTATATCAGCTGTGGGAAATGAGGACTCTTTTTAACAGTGATCACTGCAGTTAGATATATCTGCGTTATTAATTTAATGACTGATGGTGAGGTCTGTGCCACTACAGAGGAAGTCAGTGCCCTGATCTTGCAGCTTGTAGACCTATTTCTATAAATCCTTGCTCACGCAAACAGCCCGCTTGATATAAATCAGGTTAATCGCAGGATTAGTCCTTCTGGCTACCAGGTCTCTGCTACTGGGCCCTTTACTATAGGTAGACTTGTTGCCACCAAGACCAGCATGTGAACTTGGTTCCAACTATATTTAGACATTCAGGTTATATTAGAACAACCAAAATAGACTAGTGGCATTTAACCCCAGATGCTGTTTCAGATGCAAATTTTCTGGGGTTTTGTGCATGTGCCTGTGCCTGTCTGGAATTAGAAACCCTTGGCAGACTTTGTAGGTCGACAGCGTTTGAAAAGTGACTGTGGCAGAACCACCTCTAAGAAATGCAGTCCAGGATGAGGGATCGCGTAGCCAGGAAGGGAAATGTCAGATCTTAACGTCTGTGGCACAGGAGAGCAAGAAAAAAAAATCTATCCTTAAAGAGAAAACACAGCTTCCTTGGGATTTTTTAAAAAACAAACAAACTAAAAGTGCCACACACACAAAACCAAACCAAACCCAACAGCTAGTGCAAGCTGTGTGAATGATAAAAGAGCACTGTTGATGGTTCACGGCAGTCGTACCCTCGATGCCCCTCTATACTGTATTCCTGCTTCCTGAGTGTGCCTGTGTGCATGACCCCCTCCCAACCAGCCCTGCAAACGGTCCGAGTGACGCTCATCCTGAAGCCACAGGGATTGGCAGCAGTGTAGGAGGCGGGCCTGGGATGCCGCCTCCTGGGGGATTACTGTTTGACACGATACTGAAATCTGCACAGCAGGCTTGGAGCACACAGAAATATCACCCAGGCAAGGAAATCCACAAGTTTCGACTGCTGTCCTCAGTGCAGATCCGAGCAGTGGGCAAATCAGGTAAGTTCCAGCAGACTTTCCCTGTCTTCACTTGAGAGGAGAGGAGACAAGAGTCAGCAGCAGCTGGTTTATATTTTTATGTTGAAACCGCTCTGTAAAACTGCTTTATAATTTTAAAAAGTATTCTGCAAAGTGTTTCCATTTCCAACCCACACTAGAAACACAATTTTCCAACAAACTCTGCTACTCCCTCCCATCTGGTTCCATTGTTCTCATCTAATCTGCCTGCCCCTAAAAATTGACTTTTCTCTTTATTTTACTACTACAACCAATGCCCCTGTGAGATGCATTTAAAGCAGTAATTTTCAACTTGTGGTTTGTGGACCCCTGGGGGTCTGCAGACTATGTCTAAGGGGTCTGCAAAAGATAATATAATCCATTAAACGTATGTGAATACCCACACTTAAAATTCAAAGGTATCTGCACCTCCATTCAAAACTTTTTAGGGGTCTGAAAAAAGGTTGAAAACTGCTGATTTAAAGCATTTGACATATATATAGAAGACAGAAGGAGCAGAAAGCACTCAAAGAACCTATATTTTTGGACCATGTGGAGGGACTTTGAGGTGGCTTTCTTTTACCTTTCCCTCATTTTGCTTCTTTCCTACTCTCTCTCCAATAACTTTGTTATATTCTTTGAAGCAGCTGTGCTCATTTTATTGCCACGGTCAATTGACTCATAATATTCTAAACACTCTCATGTCTTTTCCCCCTTGAAAGAGAAACACTTACCGCTGTCTTTCTGGTTTGCATCTGCCATGTGCTTTACTTAGCAGACAGAGAGAATCTAAGTTCTCTCCTGCTGTTTGCTCCTGTGGTGTGGACTACCCAAAGAAATGTATTCAGGACAGACCTGAAGCAGTGGCAAAGTTTACAGGTGGCAAAAACTAGAGTTTTGTTGTTATTTTTTGCCAACAATTCTAAAATCATTGTGGGATATATAACACGTATGAATGGACATAAAAGAGACAGGATATGCTTATCTTTGGGCTCAGCCCTGTTTTACTATATTTGAACATAGTGCCATCACATGGTAAAATGATCATCTATCATATGGTAAAAATCTTGGAAAGCATTTTTAGTGGGACTCCTTGGCAGGGAGAGGATGGGCTTGTCTGGTGATTGCTGTGTTGTATGTTGTTTAAAAAAAAAATCCTTTTTCCACTTTAATCTTTAATTGGGCATGGGAATGAATTTTTTTTTTTTTTAGCTCTGGAAACTGTTGTGGCAGAGATCAGATGTCAGGGTCTTCTTGTGTGTTGCACTGACATCTGGGACAACGTGCTCAGCCAGCACTCCAGGTTCCTGCAGTTTGCACCATGAGAGAGGGGTCCCTGCGTAAAATGACGACAGCAGCACCTTGTGTGTTCCAGCAGGCCATCACTAGCATGGTTTATCTGAGTCAGGGCACTAGGACACTGCTGTCAGAACTGTGTGCTGGCCCAGAGGCGATGAGCACGATCGTGTGTGTGCATAGCAGGGTATATGTAATCTGCCAGGAGGCAGGACCTGGCTCTGCTTGGGTGCTGTAGCCTAGACTCTGGGTAGCAGGTGGGACATGCATGTATTTTCAGTGCCCTAGGCAGGGTATTTATAGACCCTGGCTGCCTGAGAGGGCATCGTGTGGCAGCCAGTGGGCAAGCTGGGCAGTACATTGCATTCTCCAGTTACCCATATGTTCCCAGTACAGGCCAACCAGTTCTGTTGGATCAGGTCCAGTTTTATCCCAGCCCACTGCCACTGTTTTTCATAGCCATACCCTATAGATAGTTGATGCAGCAGGGAAAGGACAGGTCTGCCCTAAGTGGGGCAGCATAGGCAAAAGGCAACTCATGTCCCTCCAGAGGGAAAGACAAAGTTGATTAGATGGGTGGGGCAGAGCCGACCCAAGGTGGGTGCAGGGCCCGGGGCAAATCAGCCTGTGCAAGGCCCCCTTAACACTGCACAGGGCCATGGTACCCCCACAAAGGGGGGATGAGGGTCTCTGTGCTTCTTCCACGGTGCAGGGCCGAGCCGCCAGCTCCAGGCAGGCCCCACAGGAGGGGCCGCAGCTGCTCCGTCTGGCTCTGCAGGAACCCCCCAAAGTGCAGGCCCCTGGGAGGTCACCCTGATTCACCATACTCTAGGAACAACTCTGCATGGGGGGCGTATGCAGTTCTTTGTGACTGTGCAGAGATCTATGGTACTGTTTGACTAGGCTGCTGGAGTTGGGATCTAGTGTCCAAGCTATGCTTGGTTGTTCTAATGATTTCTCCAACCCCTTTCATCCCAGCTGACCCTGACAGCTCACCTATGTGTGGGCAATAGCAGCCCATGAAAGGATCCAAAGAATGAGGGACAATTCTGGCCGGGAGCGCTGCACAGGGCTGGGGCTTCTGTGCTGCCCATACCAATCACAGAGAGGATCGTCAGGTCTAAACCCACTCCCCAAGTGTGGTGCAGGGTATGGACCTCACCTCTGCCCTGCACCATCCATTGTGTGGCTTTGAGATGCTCCCATGTCAATCTGGGAGATGTCAGGGCCCAGCTTGCTTTAAGTACTGCTTGACTAGGGTGGGAGTGCTTTACACCCATGGTGCACTGGTACAGTCACTGCACTAGGAGAGTCAGGCCTCCACCACTTACCTGAGGAGGACAAAAGAGCCTGATCTGATGCCTGCTGGAGATGAAGGAAGCCCTTCTACTGACTGTACTGGCTTTTGGATCAGGCTTGCATCACTAAGTCTGATCAGCCAGAATTCAGCCCTCTGACTCCAGGGATCTGACATAATTTCTATATGAGCTTTAGCCAACTGAGACTCCCCCTTTGGGAATGAGGAGCTCGCACATCTACTCATTGAGCAGGATTTTACATCTTCTACAGGCAAGGAAGAGATCTGGGTCATTTCCACCCTGAAGACAGGAGACCCTTCTCCAGCCCTGAAGCTTCAGGGTGAGGGATGGAGCTGGCAGAAGTCCTGTTAGGGAGCACTTCCCCAGAGAGAGCCAGACCACAGGCTAGTATGCAGGCGCAGCATCAGCATGTGCTCCCCAAACAAAGACCTCCAGGTCCCAGTTGGAAACAATAAAGATCCCTGTTGGAAAGTGAACCAGTACTGATCATCCAACTTGGCTGTTGCCATGGTGCCTTTCATATGAGTATCTTGAGGGACAAGGCACTCATTAAGTTGTCCTGACATCACCCTTTGCCAATACTGTGTGCACCCCTCTGTCTCTGAGAGGTGGGTAGATGAGTCACAGTGAGGATGGGGCTGGGATGAGCTTCTTGGTTGCAGAATCAAGAATGAACCCCCAAGTGTTTGCTTTAAGTGCACATCCTTCTTAGGCCAGTAATGGAACCCAGGAGTCCTGCATACCAGTACCTCCCCCTGAACAACAAACCTAGCTGTCCTCCCAGAGTGGCACTGGAATCCAGGAGCCCAACCCTTCAGTTTCCTGACACAACCATTAGATAGCATGAGCCTTTGCTCAAATCAGAGTCCTCTTGCATACCAGGGAAGAGAATTCAAGAATTCTGGTCCTTCTGGCTGCTCACAGATACACCCAGACTCTGCCTTCCTGGGGGAAACTAGCAACCCTTCTAACACTGGCTGTATTCAAACACGGCCTGGCTGGGGCACACCCAGATTTCTGGCTCATATTTTAAATCAGGGGCAGCAGCAAGTGGCTGTTCTGGCTGTGGAGCCTCATGACACCTTGACTTTGTCATCCCAGGTACGTTTCCAAAGTTAGGCTATGTTCTTTTGCAATGTACTTTCACTCCAAATTGCCCTGCAGTTGTGCAAACTCAGTTCACTTTACTCCAGGGTCAGGGGCTCTTAGGTAGCAAATGCCTTTGCTCCACTTTGCCTTAGCGCAGCCCTCTCCCCCTGCCCACACGGTCTCCTGCTTCACCCCCAGATATGCTGAGGTTGCAGGTTGGACGAAGGCAACTCTTTCAAGCCCAGAGATGGGGACATAGGGGGATGGGCTAACAGCAGGCATGTGGCACCTGTTGGCAAAGCCGTTGACATTTTTTACGGGATACAGAAAAAAGCAGCCCTTGTGCCATGGGTCTCTTTTGCAGCAGCCCAGATGTTTTCTCCATGAGGGCTCCCTGCACGAAGAGGGTGGCCTGGGCAGTTGTTCAGAGCATAGATAAGTGGAGATCTGGGGCCCAAGGGGAGCTAAGGGAGGGGTGAGCACATGCTTCCTAGACTGTCTGTATTGTACAGCACGCTGCAGCTGTAGCTACACCCACTGTCTGTGACTATCAAGTGAACATGCTCCAGTGGGGACTATTTTCTTTGGCGGATCCATAAGCAGTAAATAGAGGGGGTCCTGGTGTTTGCTTTGGAAGTGTTTTACTGAGAAAACAGTAAAACCCTGCATGGTAAAGAGCTGGGGGAGCTGGCGCCCAGAGTCAGATTAATGCACAGGCAAACTAGGCATGTGCCTAGGGCCCTAAGTGCAGAAGGGGCCCAGTTGTGCTTATTTTAAATATTATAATTATTGAGTGAAAAAAATAATATAAAGTATTAAGTAGGGGCCCACGTGTTTGTTTGCCTAGGGCCCACTAAAGGGTTAATCTGGCCTTGCTGGCACCAGTCCCCCAGGGCAACCCCTGCCACTGGGGTGGTGTAGCTGTTGACGGTGGTACATTCCCTTATTGTGCATTGCTGCTTACACAAGCTTGGTAATGGTTGTGTCCTTCGCTTTTACCCTGGCTTCCAATTCACAGCTCAAAACAAATGCCATTCTGCTCCACTCTACTGCCCACTGTCATTTGTTATATATTTCCCATGGGGCAACAAGTCTCCATTTCTTCCTTGAATTCCACCGGCTCCTGGAGAGCCCAGCTGAGTAGGGGTCTGAGAGATGACACAAAGGAAGGACAGCCCCTGCCCCACGGGTGTAGACAAAGGAAACTGAGGCAGAGGAGGGGCAAGAGCTGTCTGGTCAGACAGTGACAGGTGCCTGGCTGGTGGGTCAATTTGAGGCCAGTTAGGCAATTTGAGTCCA